ATTAGCAACAGTAATCTTTACTTTCCCTCAGGAAAACTGCTGGATCCCTACTCTTTCATATGTGTTTACATACACCCATGTACACACACAAGCACACACACTCACACCACCACCACCACCACTAACACCAACTCCTTCCCTTGCCCAGAAAGTCCAGCTGACAGTCATGCCACTGGAGAGTCTTCCGAGTTCTCTGCTGCAGCCATCCGAGATGATGTCTCAGTTCCTTTGTCTCTGTATTAGTTACAGTTTTCTCTATAACAAATTACCCTAAAGCTTAGTGGCTTAAAACAACAATTTTATTATCTCAGATTCTGTAGGTGAGGAATTCATAAGTAGCTTAGTTGAGTGGTTCTGGCTCAGAGTCTCTGATGAGGTTGCAGCCAAGCTGTTGTCTGGGGCTGCCATCATCTGAAAACTGGACTGGACTAGATAATCTATTAAAAGGAGGCTCACTCATGGGCCAGGAAAGTCAGTACTGACTGTGGAAGAATGTCTCATTTCTTTGCCAAGTGGAAACTTGTGTGTCCTCACAACATGGCAGTTGGCTTATCCCAGAGTGAGTGATCCAAGAGAGAACAAGATAGAAGTGTCCATGTCTCTTATGACTCAGCCACAGAAGACCCACACCACCATGCCCAAAATATCCTAGTGGCTTCAAAGGTCAACTCTATTCATGTGGGAGAAGACTATATAAGGGTGTGAATTCCAGGAGGAAATAATCATTGAGGGTACTTTTGAAAACTGGCTACCACAGCCTACAACCACAGTGTGCCCTACTGAGAGGTATATTGTGGTAACACAAAGGCATGGTGTCAAGTAGACCCAGCACATGGTAGGTGGTCAATAAATTCAGTTCTCCCGAACCATGTGACCCCAAGACTCAGCCCTGCTTAGACCTTAACACTCCTCCCTCTGAGCTGAGCAACTACCCCATTCTGCTTCCAGTAATTCATAGTAACTTAAAAGTTTACTATTTTCTCCAATTTCCTTCAGTTTTCATCTCTCTTCTGGGTCCTATACATCTTACTCTATCTGAAATGGATGGATGTTCCACTTGTCTGTTGTAGCATAATAGACTACCCCAAAAGAGTAAATAGTAATGGTCTTTTATTTTGCTCCTGAATATGGAGCAGCTGGACTCAGCTGGGCAGCTCTCCCTTGGCCTCTCTCATATGGTTATAGATGGGGTGGAGTGAGGGTCATCCCAAGGCTCTCTTCACATATCTGGCTGGAAAGACTCAAACAGCTAGGGGCTGGAATCCCTGGGTCTCCTCAGACATTTCTGTCTTTCTATATAGATACATAGATGATGATAATAGATAGATAGACATAGATTCATCAATAGAGATAGGTAGATGATGGGTATAGTTGGATGAATGTAGACAGATGATAGATAAATAGATGGATATTGATGCATGTAGGTGTGGATAGATGCAAAGTAGATATAGATGGATGATAGATGGATAGATAGATGGATAGATAGATGTAAATGATATATATGTAAATAGGTAAATATAGATAGACTATCGAGAGATATAGATAGAATGATATATACAGACAGACAGACTTACACTATGACACTTAGAAATATATTTTGCATTTTCAAACAAGATTCCATGGAGAAGACACTTCTTGGCCTAAAGAGGTGAATATGGAAATTCAGATACCCAACTGAGGGCCTTCCAGTCCCATAGATAATCACCCACTCTGCAGACGTTCTCAGCCAGTCTGTCACAAGAGAGGAAGTGAATCCCTGAATTAACCAATGTTAACACAACAATTCCTCAGTCCTGCCTATCTTTGAGCCCTTAAGGGATAAACCTGTCTCACTCTAGCTTTTCACGTATCCTCGACACTACACAGCCTGGACATGACAGAAAGACTTGTCAGAACTCTGGGACCAGAAAAGTAATCCTAAGGGAAAGAAGGAGACTGCCCACATGAATGCAGTGGGAGTGTTTCCCTCAAGTCACTCCAGCGCATCTGCCTCAAGGTTGCCCATGCTTAGTTCTGATGACAAACGTACTCCTAGAATGGGGATGTTTATATTGTTGTTCTTAGGGAACTTATTGAACAGCATCAGCTCTGAAACCAATGATTTCATACTTAAACCTCAGTGAGAGATGTGTGTATTTATTTTCTAAAATAGTTGTTGAAGCTGGAGTTGATAATGCTGGAGCCCAAATTTCAAAACCAATATTGGTTTCCTGAGGACCGAGGATATTTTGATGAAATAATAGCTGATATTTATTAAGTGTTCACATCATGCTCAGTGATCTGTGTCCTAAATACTTCACACACATCATCTGATTCCATCATCACTTGAGATAGGTGCTTTGTTATCCCCATATTTGGCAGATAGGGACTCTGAGGCACTAAGTCCTAAGCTACAAAGGTATTAGTAACGTGTTCAAGGTTTTACTTGTAAGCGTATGTAGTGTTGGAAGGCACCAGATCCCTTTGACTAGGCTGCGCACCCATCCACAGTTGCTGGGAGTGCTGGCTGTTGCTACCTCACAGCTTCCCCATTCTCTAGAGAATCACCATTGGCCAAACTGAAGCCACTTCACCTGGAAGTTGCAAGCATTTTCCAAAAACCACTGCTTGGTCCAGACTCAGCCCTGGACTGAGCTTGGATTCAAAACCCAAGAGCTCCAGCTTCGGAGCCCCCCATTTCTCAATCACTGTGTGGTGCACTCTACTTACATTAAAATAACACAAGTAATACTAAGGTGAGAGGGAGAGAGCTGTGTAAGCCAAAAAGTATTGTTGTGGCTCTTTCCCAGCAAACGACGAAACACTTACAGAAGAGTCTGTTCCAAGAACTATTTTTCTGAACCATCTCAGTGTAAATTGCTGACCTGATACTCCATAAACCCTGTAGTTTCTACAAACAAGGATATTTCCCTATTTTACCTCAATATGACCATCCAAGTCAAGAAGTTAATGCCACTACGTTACTGCCATCTAACCCTCTGACCCCATCGAATCCTCCCAGTTGTCCCAATAATGTCCTGTACAGCAGAAGGGCCCAGCCCACTGGTTGTTAGTGTCACCTCTCTATACTCCCTTCGATCTGGAACATTTCATCAGTCTTTAGCTTTCACAACCGTAACTCTTTTGAAGATTACACATCAATGAGAAACCAGGAGTAGATATTCCTCAGTTTGGGTTTCCATGACTGTTTCAGGATTTATTTCAGGTTTGTCTCCTTGGTAGGACTATTACAGAGGTAACACTGAGGTCTTACTGTGAGCCATCAGGTGATGCAGTCAATTTATCCTGTTTCTGGTGATGCTCTCTCTTATCATTTGGTTAAGGGGGTGTCCACCAGGTTTCTCCACTGTGAAGCTATCCTTTTCCCTTGTAATTAACTGGAATTTGGAGCAACAGCACTTTGAAACTGTGTAAATATACTCATCAAACTGCAATTTATCCATATATATATATATATATATATATATATATATATATATATATATGTTTTATTTCTTTACTTAGTTTTTTAGTTTATTCAATGGGTCATCATGTCTTACTGTCTTTCTATTATGATGGTCGAATTGTTCCTGATTTGCTCATTAGAAGCCCCACAGGCTGGCTTCTGTGTCCTGTTGACATGCCCCCTCCCTGTTTAGCATTCTCTTGCTTTCTAGTACAACAAGATGTTCCAGGTTCATCTTGTACTTTCCCAGTCCCAGCCCTGGAGTCAGCCATTTCTCCAAGGAGCCATGGCTCCTTTTAGTGGAAAATGGCATGTTTAAACCAAGATCTTGGCACTAGGTATGCTTATTTCTGTTAGGATGTCATTGCTTCTAAGCTCTAACAGTGGAGACAAGTAGAGATCATGTGTTTTTATATCTACATACACAACACAGCCACACATCTATCTATCTATCTATCAATCATCTACTATATAGAAAGAATGAATTTACACTGATACATTAAGTTCAAATCTATGACTCCACAGGGTTCATTGCATTTTCTCTCCTTATCAGTGACTTCCTTCCCAACAGTTTGAAACCTGGCTCCCATCATCCTTAATATATTGACTTATTTGATCAATCCCCCTTTATGTGATCAATCCCTTTCTACTCACTGATGCCCTCCTCATCCTACTAGGCTCCTGCACACCAGTTTAGGCTCTGGTTGCTCTACCCAGGCCACTCTTCTACATGGAACCCCTTCTCACCTTTCTTGGGCTCCCAAACCCAACACAGGCTTCCCCTTCATGTGGACGCTCTCACTATCCTACTTTGTCTCAGACATGGAGCCATTGTGACTCCCTTCTCTTCATGCCCATAAGAATATGGCTGCCCACCTTGCTGTTCCCCACATATTGGCTTTAGGACAGAATTATCCAGGAAAGAAAGAGGGAAGGGATGGAGATTAAAGGGAAGTGGCAGAAAAGGAAAAGGAAAAACTTATGTAGCTTCTGAAACCAAACAAAACTGATGAAATTTGTAGCCTGTCTGCCCAACCAATGATCAATCAATCATTTTTTTTTAAATTTGATCTCCATTGTATTAAGACAGTTGGGAGCTGAGGAAGGAGTATAAACACATATAATAAAACATCTTTCCTACCTTTCAGAAACGTCAGGGGAGATGAGATGAAAACTAAATCAAAGCTAATATTATAATAATGAGTGCCTCATTTGAGTATTACAAAAAATACGCACTCCAACAATGGGAGCACTAAAGTATGAATACACTTTCTAAGAAACAGGCAAAGTCACAGTAGATTAACTCTCACCTGTCTTAATATATCAAATGAAAGCTCTGAAAAGTGCCCACCCACTCAGTCATTATGATGGTTAAAAACGTTTAGTCACTGACTCTCACTGATTCAGTTCTATAGATTTCCCCTAACGTGCAAGAAGGCATCAAAAAGTACTTTTGTAAGGAGAAGTTTATTGATTTGCTCAATATAATATTTTATAAAATATTCAAAATGAATGTGTGATATAAATGTCTCTACTACAGTCACCACAATAATCATTGTGTTCATTAAAAATTGTTGAGAAATTTTATTCTCGATCAGTGTTCAGCAGAAGTAGATAGTACTAAGTGTGGGAGGATGGAGATCATCCTGCAAGAACCAAACAAGCTGAGTTCACATACCCGGCACTCACTTGTCCCCTGCTTCATATCACATAACATGTAATACTCTACATAGACACTTGGAAAATCAATAAATGTAAGAATCCTCAGGCATCCATCACATGCAGTAGGTTAAGCCCACCTTCATTCTGAATTGTATTCACAAAGTAAATTAAGATCTCTGGTGTTCTGGGATACAGCTTCCTTGAAGAACAGTGGAAGTCCTTAGGGAAAGTCAGGCTCCAGTCACGGTCCCATCTCTGGGCTCAACTTTTAGAACAATGGGCTTTTGTGGTTTCACAATTGCTTCAGTGCCTAATTTTATGGGTATCTGCAACAGTTAAACAAGCATATGAGAACTGATTGAGGAAGCACTGCCAATAACAGAACAAAGTAGACAAGACACATAAAGAACGACAATGTTTTACAAACATATAAACTACTTTTAACATCACATAACTTTAATTCTTTATATTTAGTCTGTAAGTTGCATCAAGACCAAATAGCAAAAGCATTCATCCATCCATCCATTCATTCAAGAAAATATCTATGGAGCACCCATTCTGGACCAGGATGGAGACAAATTCATGTTGGCTTGTATTCCTTTTTGATTTAAATTTTAAGTAAAAAGTATGAACTTCTACAATTAAAACCAGATTCTTATGGATTATAGGAAACTATTTTGAAAAGCCATATAGAATTAATTTTGTCTATGATGGACTTATCAGGTGATCCAGAGTGTTATTACACATTTTAATTATATTGCTTCATCCTCAACTTCTAGAATTCAGTCACCTCTCCCAGTGGAAGCCATCCAGTTTCATGACTGGAAAGGTTCTTTAGAATATTATTGCTGCTCTCCAACATCTCTTGGATCACTTGAAGAGTGCAAATGGTGAACTTCTGAAATACAGTACTTTCACTGATAGTTTTCGCCCCTTTCTCACCCAGTCACTCCTTAAGTGTTGGGGAGGCCAGCAGCAGAATCGGCTTTGGGACTCAGTTGACTGAAGCGTAAGCAAAGTATCATAGAGAGTAAGAAGTGCCAGCCTGTGGGTGACTAGGAGTTCACAGGGAGTGTCTGTACCATCCCAGGTGTGCCAGAGATCTGCTTTCTCTCTTTATGGAATCTCTTTTGTCACACTTACAGGATTGCCACACAGCTACCCTAAAATCATAAATAAGATGGGATCCATCTCTATCCTCTCCCCTGCAGGGAGCCTACTTAAGGGGAGGAGCTGCAAATTACGTGCATGAGTCCTAGAAATAAACCTTATTATAGGGCCTGATTTGTTAGGAATCAAAGGCTAAAGTTCTTTACGTATTCAGAAGAGATATTCCATATCTTTCTATAAATTGAAAACCTTGTTATTTTATGATTATATATGGTATGCATACTTCTCCCCTGCAGACACATACACACAACACGCACATACAAAAATGTCATTTGTTAAAATTTTATAGTTAAAATTTTTCAAAATTTGTATCCAAGAACTCTAAATAAACTTCAAATTATTCCTTAACCATTTGCTGAATGACTACAAGACACCGATGGAAGTTTATGATGGGAATAAATGAGGTGCAGGAGTTAAAGACATTCATAGACACAAAGAAAACATACAAACCAAACTGGATGGTTGAATAACAAAGTATTAAGTTAGGCGATCTGACCAATGATACCAGCCTGCAATAACTGATAGAGCAGAGGAAAGAATGGGCTCTGGACTAGATGGGAAGGCCCCATAGAGGGGCTTTGGGATTCATCTAAGACTTGAAGGATGAGAACAGAATGAGGAGGAGAGTGAGAAGAACATTCATGGAATTATTACTAGGATGTAAAAGGCACCCAGTTTTACTAGAGCAGGGCTCCTGGAATATGAGGTCAAATAGGTAGGAAGGACCTAGACTGCGCGAGTCTTTCACATCTGGCAGAAATTATTTAAATTAGTGATTCTCAACCTTGCCTGCACATAAGCTACAATAGGAGTGCTTTTAAGCCACACTCTAGGTGAATTATTTTAAAGTCTGAGATTTCTTAAGCATCAGGAGTTTTAAAGATACATGGTGATTTCCTTATACAGACAGCAGTAGAGAACTGCTGTCATGAATCTTCTGTAAGTTTTGGTGGAGAAGACCATCCTTCAACAGTCATGACATGGTGATCACTGCACTTAATAACTGTGCAAGATTTTCCCTTCCTTCCAGTGGACTTGAAACCAAATTTAAAATTTTACTCAAGTCCAAAGGACTGGGCATAATCCTGTCACACTAACTGCATTGGCTCCAGATGATCTTTATAGTTGGATCTTATAAAGTCACAGACTTAGCAATACAGAGCTAAGCGCCTTAAAGGTCACAGATGGCTCCAAATAGATTCTTCAGCTAATAGAATAAATTTACCTTTGGATAGAATACAGTCTTTTATACACACACATGCACACACACACACACACACGCACACAGACCCCTTGACATAAAAAAAAAAAGCCCCTCCCAATAAAACGTTATTTGTGAAGAAACTTGACTGTCCAACCTCTGTTTCTTTACAAGGTTTGAAGGAGAAGTTCTGCAGCACTCTGACGACAGCAAGTTTCATGTTCATCAGAGCAAATCTCATGCCAATGCAGTTTCGGGGTCCGGTTCCAAAAGGCAGGTATATATAAGGATTTATGCTGTCCTTGTTCTCCTTACTGAACCTGGATCCACAAAAGTAGATGAAAGCAAGTTATTGAAACATAAAAACCACAAAAGCTACAGGTTTGGAATTCTCACTTAGCCTCCTCAATCAGTAGTACACAGGATACTGTTGTGGGCTAGTCATTGACATGCAGCTATGGATATTTTGCTGTAAGAACTGTAAGTTACAGACCATTTCTATTCCTCTTCCCTATAGTAGCTTTCAGTCTTGTTGAGGAGATGAGATGAATGTCATTTAAAAGAAAATTTATCTTTAAACAGGAAAACTACATTCAGGGTGGTGAGATGTTCACAAAAAGAGATGAGAGTGATTCAAGGAAAAGTAAGTCTCTGCCTCCAGTCACTTATGTTGGTCATGTGCACATGCAGGAAGGAAGAAGGAGAAATGCCTCCCATTATTTACAACGTTATTTTCCCTTCTCTTCCTTATTTTCCTTCCCCTCCCTCTCTCCTCCCTTCCCTCTCTCTCTCTCTCCCTTCTTCCTCATAGAGTGGCTCATTTAAGAAGACTTACATGGGCATATGATGCTACTTTACTATAGTATAATCACTGATTTCTTTATCTTTCTGTTCCACTAAGCCATAAACTCCTTGAAGGTTAGACCTATTTTTATTTCATTTGATTCCTCAATATGTGACTACATTAAGAACACCTGTGGTAGAGGTGTCAAGATGGTGGCATAGGCAGACTCTGAACTCACCTCATCCCACAAACACAACAAATTTACAACTATTCTTGGAACAATTAGCCCTGAGAGAGAACTGAAAACTGGTTAAATAGAACCCTCACAACAAGGGACAGTCATGACTGTGGTTGAAGAGGCATAAATGCCTTATGCAGAGAAAAAAATCCACATTTGCAAGCTGTGGGGCATCATGGCCTGCTGGGAGCAATCCTAAGGTATGCAGCCTTACCTGGAGGAGTGGGGGACCTGAGCAGGGGAGAGTTACTGCTATAAGCATCTATTAGACTCAGCACAAGCAAGACGAGTCTCATAATATCTAGCTTTGCTGGCTCTTAACAACAACAGGGAATACCCCCAGAAAAGCTATAAGACATAGGAAAAAAAGGCCACCTCTTAAAGGGCCCACAGACAAGTTCACCCATTTTGGAGAACAACCTAAAATCAGCAGAAAGAAAGGTACACAGTCCTTTTGTGAAAAGAGACCCCCCAGTAGGCTCTCAGTGCATCTTGGTAGAAGGTGAGACCTCTCCAGGGACTGATACATTGGCAGCAGCCATCATTGCAGCCTAGTACAGATGTGCTGACACAAATGCTGGCAAACGCCATTGGCCTGTTAGCCCAGGGTCTCCTCCACCTACTAGAGTACTGATTTAATCCAACTCCACCAGGGCAAACATCATACACGAGGCACTGGCCACATCCAACAGCAAGCCTTTGGGCAACTTGTGGGCCTGCATTGACTGGGTGCCTGGATAATCTGCAGGCAGGCAAGTGGGTCTGCCTCTGTGGGGTGGGGCATGCATAAGGAACAGGTGGAGTGTGTGGGGCCTCTGCAGTGTGGGAACTGGTTCTGCTTCAGGAGGTCAGGTTGTGTGCACAGGACAGGACTGTGCTGATGTTGTGTGTGGCCCTGTGGGAAGTGGGGCTAGTCAGCTGCAGAACATTTGTATTTCTCAAACAGCCACATAGGGATCAGATGCACCTTCCAAAGCCTGAAACAATTGGGTTCTATGTGGCTGTGGCCAGCCCGAATCAGCTGCAGTCCTAAGAGAGCTGACAATAGCCTTGCAGGCCAGATGTCTACACAATTGTAAGCCCTTGAGCCTTGCAACCAGCCACACTGGGGGTTTACTCACTTAGCAGAAAAACCGCAACAGAAATGTGCTATTAGACCTTGTAGGCAACTGTGCTGGGTCTCCCCTTGCCTGAAAAAATGACTGCAGAGACCATAGCAGCCACAGGCAGCTGAGCATTACAACCAGCCAGCCTGGGGGACAGCCTAGCCTCACTGGGCATCTGCAATAAGAGCAACCTTGCCACAACAGAAGGATACACATAGGCCACATAAGTATCACTCCTGGAACATTTGGAACTGGTGGCTAGAGGGAAGCACTCTGCTGGGCTTCATAAGGCTTCTCTTACATAAGGAGACCTCTCCAAGGTCAGGAGACGTAACTGACTCACCTAATACATAGGTGACACAAAGCTACATAGTCACAGAGAAAGAGGCAAAATGAGGAAGCAAGGGAATATGTTTCAAGTAAGGGGACAGCACAAAACCCCAGGAAAAGAACTAAATGAAATAGAAATAAATAATCTAATTGACAAAGAGTTCAAATAAAAAGTCATAAGAATGCTCACTGATCTTTGGAGAAGGTTGGATGAACTCAGTGAGAACGTCAACAAAGAACTGGAATATGTAAAAAAGAACCAGTCATAAATGAAGAATACAATACTGGAAATGAGAAAATCACCAGAGGGACTCGAAAACAGAGTAGATGATACAGAAGAATGGAACAACGAGCTGGCTGGAAGAATAGAGAAAATCCCCAAAGCTGAACAGATAAAAGAAAAGAGTATTAAAAAGAACAAGAACAATGTAAGGGACCTCTGCTACAACATTAAGTGAGCTCACATTCATATAATAGGTGTCTCAAAAGGAGAAGAGAGAGAGAGACAAAGGAACAGAGAATCTATTTGCAGAAATAATAGCTGAAAAATTTCCTAACCTAAGGAAGGAAACAGACATCTAGGTACAGGAAGCACAGAGAACACCAAACAAGACACAACCAAAGAGGTCCACACCAAGACACATCATAATTAAAATGTGAAGAATTAAAGACAAAGACACAATCCTAAAAGCTACAAGAGAAAGGCACAAGTGACATACGAAAGAAAACCCATAAGGCTATCAGCTGACTTCTCAGAAGAAGCCTGACAGGGTAGAAGGGAGTGGCATGATATATATAAAGTGCTGAAAGGAAAAAACTTATGGCCAGGAATATGATACCCCAAAAGGTTACCATTCAGAATGGAAGGAGAGATAAAGAGTTTCCCAGACAAGCAAAAATTAAAGGAGTTATCACCAAGAAATCAGTTTTACAAGAAATGCTAAAGGTACTTATTTAAGTGGGAAAGAGAAGATCACAAATAGGAATAAGAAGAATTATCAAAAAAAGCAATAAAATCACTGGTAAAGGCAAAAAGACGGTAAAGGTAGCAGATCAACAAACTATGAAACTAATATGAAGATCAAAGACAAACGTACAAATATTACCTATTTCCATGGTAAGAGGGTAATGGACACACACATAAAAAAAAGTTAGATATGATATGAAAAACATAAAAAGTGGGATGAGGGGAGTAAAAGACTAGGGCTTTTGGCAAGAGGTGCAAACTAAAGAGACCATCAACTTAATACAGATTGCTATATACATAGGTTGTTGTATGTGAACCTCATGGTAATCACAAACCAGATGCCTATAATAAATACACAAAAATTAAGAGAAAGGAACCCAAACATAATACTAAAGAAAGCCATCAAGCCACAAGGGAAGAAAGCAAGAGAAGAAGAAAGGAATAGAGAAGAACTAGAACACCCAGGAAAAAAGGTAACAAAATGGAAATAAGTACATACTTATCAACAGCTACTGTAAATGTCAATGGACTAGATTTCCAATCAAAAGGCATAAGGTGGCTTAATGGATAGAACAACAAGACCCATGTATATGCTGCATACAAGAGATACACTTCAGGCCTAACAGCACACACAAACTGAAAGTGAAGGGATGGAAAAATATACTCCATGCAAATGGCAAAGAAAAGAAAGCTGGGGTAGCAATACTTATATCAGACAGAATACACTTTAAAGCAAAAACTGTAACAAGAGGCAAAGAAGGGTACTACATAATGATAAAACCCAGCAAGAGGATATAACACTTGTTAATATCTATGAACCCAACATAGGAGTACCTAAATATATAAAAGCAATTATTAACAGACATAAAAGGAGAAATAGACAGTAATGTATTAATAGCAGGGGACTTTAACACTCCACTTACATCAATGGACTGATCATGCAAACAGAAGATCAATAGGGAAACATTGGTCTTAAATAACACATTAGACCAGATGGACTACACAGATATATACAGAACATTCCATCCCAAAACTGCAGAATACACATTCTTTTTTAATGCACATGGAACATTCTCCAGGATTGATTGCATACTAGGCCACAAAACAAGTCTCTTTAAATTTAGGACGACTGAAATAAGACCAAGTATCTTTTCTGACCACAATAGTATGAAACAGGAAGTCAACTACAGGAAGAAATCAGAAAAGAGATAAATACTTAGGGATTAAACAAAATGCTGCTAAATAATGATTGGATCAATGAAGAAATCAAAGGACAAATAAAAAATATCTGGAGATAAATGAATATGAAAATATGGCATTCCAAAACTTATGAGAAGCAGCAAAAGTGGTTGTAAAAGGGAAGTCTATAGCAATACAGGCCTACCTCAACAAACGATCTAACATTGCACCTAAAGGAACCGGAAGGAGAAGAACAAACAAAGCCCAAAATCAGTAGAAGGAGAGCAGAATTAAATGAAACAGAGACTAAAAGAACAAAAGAAAAATCAAGGGAAAAGATCTGGTTCTTTGAAAAAAAATAAACGAAATTGACAAACCTATAGCTAGACTCACCAAGAGAAAAAGAGGGAAGTCTCTAATAAATAAAATCAAAAATTAAAGAGGAGAAATTAAAATAGATACTGCAGAAATACAAAAGATTATAAGAGAACACTGTGAAAAGCTATACACCAACAAACTGGATAATCTAGAAGAAATGGATAAATTCTTAGAATCATACAACCTTCAAGACTGAGTCAAGAAAAAATAGACAATTTTAATAGAACAATCACCAGTAAGGAGATTGAAACAGTAATCAAAAACCTCCCAAAAAATAAAAGTCAAGGACCAGATGCTTTCCCTGGTGAATTCTACAAAACATTCAAAGAAGACTTAATACCTATCCTTCTAAAACTCTTCCAAAAAATTGAAGAGGTGGGGAAGGTTCCTAACTGGTTCTACAAAGTCAACACTACCTTGATACTAAAACCAGACAAGGACAACCCAAAGATGAAATTACAAGTCAATATCACTGATGAACATCAGTGCAAACATCCTCAACAAAATACCAGAAAATTGAATATGACAGTCCATTAAAAAGATCATACACCCTGATCATATGGGATTTATTCCAGGGATACAGGGATGGTTCAACATTTGCAAATCAATCAATGTGATACACCACATTAACAAAATGAAGAATAAAAATAAAATGATCATCTCAATAGATGCAGCGAAAGCATGTGACAAGTTACAGCATCCATTCATGAAAAAACGGTGAATAAAATCTGATGGAAAGGAAGTAGCTGAACATGATACAGGCCGTATATGACAAACCCACAGCTAATATAATTCTCAATGGAGAAAAACAGAAAGCTATCCTTCTAAGACTAGGAACCAGACAAGAATGCCCACTTTCACCACTCTTATTTAACATAGTATTAGATGTCTTAGCCAAAGCAATAAGGCGAGAAAAAGAAAAGGGATCCAAATAGGAAAGGAAGAAGTGAAACCATCACTATTTACAGATTGCATGATATTATACATAGAAAATCCTAAAGAATCCACAAAAAAACTTTTAGAAATAAAAATTGAATGGCAAAGTTGCAGGATACAAAATCAACATACAAAAATAGGTTGGATTTCTACACAGCAACAATGAAGTAACAGAAAGAGAAATTAGAAATACAATCGGGTTTACAACTGCAACAAAAAGAAGAAAATATCAAGGAATAAACTTAACCAAACAGGTAAAAGGTCTGTACACTGAAAATTATAAAACATTGTTGAAAGAAATAGAAGAAGAAACAAAGAAATGGAAAGATACTCTGTGCTCTTTGTCTGGAAGAATTACCATAGTTAAAACGACCATAATTCCTACAGCAATCTACAGATTCAATGCAATCCCAATCAATGTTCCAACATTTTTCGCAGAAATAGAACAAAGAATCCTAAAATTTATATGGAAGAACAAAAGAGCCTGAACAGCCAAAGGAATCCTGAGAAAAAAGAACTAAGCTGGAGGTATTACACTGCCTGATTGCAAAATACACTACAAAACTATAGTACCAAAAACAGCATGGTACTGGCACAAAAACAGAGACGCATATCAATGGAATGGAACTGAGAACCCATAAATAAACCAACACGTATATGGACAATTAATTTTTGATAAGGGAGCCAAACACACAATAGAGAATGGAAAATCTCTTCAATACATGGTTTTAGGAAAACTGGACAGCCACGTACAAAGGAATGGAAATAGACCATTATCTTACACCTTGCACAAAAATGAACTCACAATGGATTAAAGACTTGAATGTAAGGCCTGTAACTATTAAACTTCTAGACAAAAACAAAAGCAGCATGCTCTTCAACATCAGCCTTACCAGGATACTTTTAATTACTATGTCTGACTGGGTCAGGGAAACAGTAGAAAAAACAAACAAATGGGACTACATCAAACTAAAAAGCTTCTGCACAGCAAAGGAAACCATGAAAAAAAAGAAAAGACAACCTAACAATTGGGAGAAGATATTTACAAACCATATATCTGATAAGGGGTTAATCCCTAAAATCTGTAAAGAAATCATACATCTCAACAAAAATAACCCAACAACCCAATTAAAAATTGGCAAAAATATCTGAACAGACATTTCTCCAAAGAAGATATATACATGGCCAACAGGCACATGGAAAGATGTTCATCATTAACTACCAGGGAAAGGAAAATCAAAACTATAGTGAGATACCACCTCACTCCAGTCAGAATGGCAATAATTAACCAGACAGGAAACAATAAGTGTTGGAGAGGATGTGGAGAGAAGGAAACTCTCATACACTGCTGGTGGGAGTCCAGACTGGGCAGCCACTATGGAAAACAGTATGGAGATTCCTCAAAGAACTAAGAATAGAACTGCCATACGATCCAGCTATTCCACTGCTGGGTATTTATCCAAAGAACATGAAAACATGAATGTGTAAGATACATGCACCCCTATGTTCATTACAGCATTATTCACAATAGCCAAGACTTGGAAGCAACCTAAGTGTCCATCAAGAGACAAATGGATAAAGAAGATGTTGTAAATATACATAAAGGAACACTACTCAGCCATAAGAAAAGATGAAATCTAGCCATTTGCGACAACATGGATGGACCTTGAGGATATCATGCTAAGCAAAATAAGTCAGAGGGAGAAAACCAAATAGCATATGATCTCACTCATAAGCAGAAGATAAAAACAACAAACAATCACATAGAAACAGAGATTGGATTGGTGCTTACAAAAGGGGAAGGGAGGAGGGACGAGGGCAAAAAGGGTGATTAGGCACAGGTGTGATGATGGATTGTCTTTGGGTGGCAAACATGATGTAATCTACACAGAAATTGAAATATAGTGATGTATATCTGAAATTTATGTAATGTTGTGAACCAATGTTACCACAATACAGTAAATAAATGAATAAATAAAAAATAAAATCCAACTTCACAAAAAAGAAAAAGAAATATTGTGGATTTGGGGAAAGTGATAATGGTATTGTTGCATGTACTTTTTAAAGAGTCCTTATATTTTGGAGAACATGATGGGATAGTTATACATGGTATGTCTTAAAATAATATGGGAATTAGGAAAAAGATAGCAGTGGTGTCTGAATGAGGCAGCTGACATGGACTTATGGATGTTGGACAGGTAGTGGTCACATATAGATGCATTAAAAGTATTCCATAGACTTATGTCTATGGGATATGCTTGTATATATGTCAAATACACATACACTTGTGTATTTGTCAAAATTCCTCATGTTAGGCATTTTTTAACGTTTGTATTTCTCACTGCCTGACCCAGTCCCTGACAAGCAACAAGCACTCTCCGTCTATTTGATGAGTAAATGAATCAAAGAGAAGTACAGTTAGTGGTTTTATGGTCAAGAAGTTTAGGAGGGGGAACTGCTGAGCTTGGAGGAACCGCAGAGGTCCTCTGGTCCAGAAACAGAAGACTTGGCCAACTCTGACTTCTTCTTTCAATGAGTAGCACATGTAGACACTATGCCAGCACTAGGGACACCATGGCCAACAAGAAAAGTCCCTGCCATTAGGGAGCTTATCCTCAGGGGCTAATAAAAGTTTAGATCCAAGCCAAAGCCCTAGAAATTTTGTTTCAAATTTTGCTCACAATAAAATAAGTGGGAAAGCATTAATGCTTTCCAGAGTTCAAGTTGTGCCCAAAGTCGGATCTTGGTTCTGAATTCCCAGAAAAGCATCCTCAAGACCCCTCCAAGGAGGATGTCTCAGACATCTAGAGAGCAGACATTTTGCTTTGGAATTGTCAACCAATAGTAAGAGTAGAAGGGAGTCGGCACAGGACCGCAGCCACAAACAGCACTGAGGGACCTGTGCTTACCTCCATCCTCGATGAGGTTGCTTAAACTATCAGAGATGAGGACCTCTCTGGTCATTACCTGCACACTTACAAGAATGCTAGAGGAAATGGCAGCGAATGTTTAAAAATATGGAATGTAGGAATGTTGGTGGTAAATTCAGAGAGGTGAAGCAAATAGCACAGAAGAATGTAAAGGAAAAATGAACCTATGTTCCCAAAATCAGATAGTGCCTCAATAAATTATGGCAAATGCATGCAATCATACATAAATATATATATATATTTATGTAAATACATATACATATATAGAGTAACATAAGATGGTTATAGTTTACTGGTAAATAAGGTAAACAGTTCAAAGCAAAATAAAATATAATATCATTCCATATTTTAAAAAATTTATATATGCATAAAAAAATTCCATACATAAATGCATCACCTTATTAACAAGGCCTATCTTAAGGTATTGGGACTGTGGACAGCTATAATTTTCTTTTTTCTAGTCTACGGTTTGTAGAATTTTGCAAACAAATAATAACCACTCTTGTAATAAAAAAACCTCCCTAAAATAAAAAGATGTACAAATAAATGATTGTACAATTACAAATTTGTCATCTATACTAAGATGTCAGAATATGCTGAAACCAGACTGAATCAGAGCGGGTTCCCTTTTCCAGGGGCCCTGTACCTTTCAGGACGAAACTCTTCAGGCTCTGGCCAGAACTCTGAGGCTCGGTGAAGAACAAAGGTTGGCACAGTCACCAGTGTCCTTTTGGGAATGAACACCCCATTGAGTTCCACATCTTTCTTACAGATCCTCTGAAGTCTACCAGCAACTGGGAATAATCTGAGAGATTCATTCAACACCATGTCAAGATAGTCCATCTGTAGCAGGGCATCATAGGTGGGAGGTACCTGGGAAAAAAGAAACAGATTTTGATAAAGTAAGATTTAGGATCAACTTTCCACGCAGGCTCTACAGTGTTATTGAAAGTGTTAGGTGCACAAAAGATTAATTTATTTTGATAAAGTACCTTAGCATTCCTAGGCATTTTAATATCTACATGTCCTTTGACCTGTTCAGTGGCCCATTGAGATGTGTGGAGTATTTTTGACTATGGAAGACCATTTGGACAATCCTCTATACAAGGCCTGAAATCCCTCACATTAGCACGTCTATCAGATTGGCTTTTCTTCTTTCTCTTGTGAACAAATGTGACTAATGGACTATAACATTTACTCTTAAGTGAAATATGCCCAAGTCATTGTTTTCTTTCAAAAGAGAGACCACACACCTGCACCAAGGAAAGAGAATGTATAAAAAAGGCAATTCCCTATTGAACTTAAGGTTTTTTAGTTGAAAAATACTACTTGTTAACTCTTTAGGTTATATATATAAAATTTTAAGATATGTGCTCTATTATATAAAAACTCTATAAGTAATTTGGGAAGAAACCTGTTCCTTTCTAAACCAAACATGACCCAAAAAAGGTTAAGATGGGTGATACCATGGCACACAATTTCATTTCTAGGAAAAGGTGTAACAAGAACTTTACTCTCAGCCCTACCCTCTGGTATTGGAACGGTTTCCTGGTTGGCCCTTCAGGATTTGACTATAAACTCTGAAAATCTAAACAACACACTTCAGCCCCACTTCCGCCAGGTCTCTTCTCATCATAAAGAAATTCAGTTTGGGAAGAGATCTTAAGACAGTGCGGACAATATGAGCTATCACCTGGTATTATATTGAAGATGGAATATTGTAGAGGTTAAGAGTTTGGCTCAGGAGCCAGACACCTTATTAAATGATTGGTTATATGACTAGCATGTGAAAGTTCTTTCATTTCTCTGTAGTTCAGTCTTCTGATATCTTCTATGGATATAATTAGAGCTGACATTTCATAAGGTGGTGTGGCAGAGACATCACTGCTTATCCAACATTCATGTGTCCCCTACATTTCCCAGCCCATTGAACTTGGGGGAAATCACATTTGCCAATGGGCTGTGAGCCGAGGTGATGTATGTCAGTTCAGGGAAAAAACATTTGAAAAGCCAGTGAGCAACAATCTACTTCTTTATTCCTCAGCCAATAGGAAGGCCTCATGTTCCATATAACCAGCTATAAGAAGGTAGAGATGTACAACCTGTATCTCTGAGTGCTATGTGGGGCAGAGACTCCCACTCCCATCCTCGACTGGGGTCCAGTTGGAAATGTAAATGTGAGTTAGAAGTAAACATTTGCTATGTAAATCCACTGATATTGAGGGCTAATCCCTTAGTGAGGCATAAGATTGCCTATCCAGACTAATACGGCATTTTATGAATATTAAGTTCATTTATAAATAGAAATCATTTAAAAGAGACATGTATACTAAGAAGCAAATGTTGGCTATTTGTGTTGTTATTGTCCTTGTAATTATTACTATAAAAAAGGGAGAACAAAATGCTTAGCTCGTCTCCGTCTCTAAGTGAACTTTTCATTATATTGCAATGAAAAGAATCCCAATATGGGCTTAAGCAGATAAAAGAAAGAATCTCTACTTTGGTAAGCCCTAAACTGTATCCTTACTTTACATCTGAAGGACCTATGACTGAGAAAGATCATAAGACTTGTCCAAAACCACACTCAGGAAAGTCATGTCTTCCTTTTCCTACACTGTGCTCTTCCCTGTATACCAGGATTCTCGTAGTCTGCAAAGTTTACCCATCGTGGTAGATTGCACTAATAGTCCCAATTCACCCCTTCCTGTGTCCATGCCCTTTGCCACCTAACTTTGTGGGGCCTCCAATTCTGACTCTTGGGGTGGCCATGTAGCTTGCTTTGAACCAATGGAATGTTGGCGAACTGTTATGGAAGCACGGTTTTGAAAGGTACCCATATAATTGTGCTTTTTCCTCTTGCACTCTGCCATTGCCCTAAGAAGAACAGGTCCGGGCTAATTTTATGGAGTATGAGAACTATGTGGGGCACACGCAGAACTGAGTCAGCCTATCCAGCTTATCTAAGGCCAGCATAGATCAGACAATAGCCAGAACAAGTCAAGTCCAGCCAACATCAACACAGATAACTATCCAGAAACTTGACAAATAAATGCTGATTGTTAGATGCCACCGAGATTTTGTGATTTTTACTTGGTATTATTGTGGGAACACTAGGACCGGCACTTTTTTCAAAGATCTTATATTTATGTGAGTAGCATACATTATTTAGATTTCTCTCCCCCTCTTTTTTTTTTTTGTCTCTTTACACACTTCCTAAAGAGCACACGTGTAAGAATTGACACACTCTTTTTGCAAATTTCTCTTAGGAAGTGGTAAAGAGACATTCTTGCTAAGGCTTCACCCCCCCCCCCCCCCACTCCAAGTAACATCCATTCACCTTATTGGGGAAAGTCACATCAATCTCCTTCTGCAGCTTCTGCTGGACATCAGGGTGAGTGGCCAAAAGATACATAAGGAAGGAGAGAGAAGTGCTCGTAGTCTCATAGCCAGCAAAAATAAACACAATAGATTGGGCTACAAGCTCGAGATCAGACAGAGCTAAAAGGAGAGGAAAGTTATTTTAAGTAAATTATGTAAATATAAAACATCACAGTTCAGATGATTAGAAATCCAAATGAAACTCCCCAACCCCTAGGGAAAAAAATAGAAAAGTAGTTCTGAGTCAAACTGGGAATGGTTTGCACTCTGGTGTCTATCTAACACAACCAAGAAAAGGCCAAAATGGTCTTAATCCAGTTTTTCAAGGGTCTATAGTATTTTTGGTCTTTTCTCCTGGTTATGCCACACTCCCACCAACACAGCTGGGTAATTTCCAAGAGATACCATTCCTATCTAACATATACACTGATATTAGTAAGTCCCTTGGAGAATCCTAAAAGTACTTTAGCTACAAGTAATGTAGGGTAGCATTCTCCCCCAGGAAAAATTTAAATTATGCTAGATAAAATATAGTTTGAATTCTTTTAAGAGAGTCTGCAATACTAAGGCTTAATTGTAGAGAAAACTAAAGGATGTTGCCTCTAAACATGTTTCAGGGAATTTAAGAGAATAATGTTGGACTACAGATAAACTCCTGTTACTCAGTGTGGTCCATGGCACAGCAGCATCAGCAACATCTGGGAGCTCATTAAAAATGCAGAAATTCAACGCCCACCCTAGAACTAGCAAATCAAAATCTGAACTTTCATAAGGTATGGTGGTTTGTGTGTACAACCTAGCTTGAGAAGCATGGATAGCACCTTGAGAGGCATCAGGTAATGGAAGACCTGGGTAAAGTCTTTGAATGGAAGATCCAAGATATGTACCAAAGCTACAGAGACAGAAAAAAAAAAAACACTAGAAGAGTGGTGATTGACCATAGTCTAACCAATGGCATTAAAATAGCAGAAGACAAATGGTGTCAATAGACGGCATTAACCAGCATAAGACATAGAAAAATATGATCCATTGTGTGGAACTACAATACTTATTCAATCATGGCCTGACTGTCATCTTCCTCAGCACATGCAGGCTCTGTTTGGCTCTACTTTATGCTCAGTAAATGGTCCTTGAGATACGAAGTTGTCTTCCCTTTTGACCTTCTCCTGGAAGAAACTAAGCATGGTCAGGGTCTAATCGATTTGACTGGAACTGGATTAGGACCTTTAGACACCCAGAATACTGAAATAAGCATGGTACCTTCCCCAAACATGTATTTTACAACTAAAACACTACAAAATGACTGTAAAAAAGGTCTACAGAGTTCTGATCTCCCAATGATGATTTCTGTGATGCTGTTGTCAGTAAATTCAACTATCAAAAACTTGCCATCGGTTAACATGAACCTCATGATACTCAAAGTTTAGAGCTGTGCTCTCCTATATAGTAGCCATATGTGTCTATTTAAATTTAAATTTAAATTTAAATTTTGACTACTTAAATATAAATATAACTTAAGATATAGTTCTTCATTCACACTGGCCACATGTCAAGTTTCAATAGCCATATGTATCTAGTGTTTACTGCATTGAACAGTGCAGATATATAGTATTTTCTTCATTGCAGAGAGTTGCATTGGACCAGATAGATAGGCAGATAGATAGATAGATAGATAGATAGATAGATAATACACAGCTAGATAGAACTAAATGTAGACATAGATATAGATGTATTTATAGCAGTGTGCTGGACTCAGATCATACTTGCACTCTAGTACCAATTATTAAATATTCAGAAATTATATGAGATGATTGTCAAACAACTGGTAGCTTTAAATTAACTATATGGGAATATTCATGTCATGGAAATAAACTATAAATCAAGTCCTGTTTTAGGGAGGCAGAGTATGTTTAGATTACTGGTTATGGGTGGATATAGAAATATTTATGTTTATCAGTTCTGTGTAAATATATTTGATGTTCTTAGCTTTGTCCACTGAGAAGATCTAGAAGCAGTGAAACCCTAGTAGCAATGAGCACTCCTAGACACCCGATTTGGGTATCTAAGTACCATTACACTAAAAGGAAGTGGAGTTCCTTGGAGAAATGGTTGATTCCAGGGCTAGTCACAGGAAATAGAAGAGAAACCTCAAATGTCTTCCATCAGAAAGCAAGGCAGTGGTCAGAAAATGATAGGTGAAAAGGCACAGGATAATCTGTATACCATAGTGATGGGTATACATCATTATACATTTCTTAAAAACCATAGAAAGCACAACACTGAGAGTGAACCCTAATGTAACCTATGGGCTTCTGGTGATAATAATGTGTCAACATAGATTCATACATCATTAGAAATGTACCACTCTGGCGAGGGATTTTTATAGTGGAAGAAGGTGTATAGAGACTGTATCATAGAGGAAGGAGCAGGGGTTGAATGGGAAATCTATGTACTATCCACTCAATATCGCTGTGAATCTAGAAGTAGTCTAAAAAATAAAATCAATTGAAAAAATAAAATTTAAAAAAAGGACGAAAAAAGAAAGGACAGAGGAGCCCAATTGGAAGGGCTTCCAGAGGACAAACCTGAGAGAATTTGAGAATCAAAATCAAGAATGATGGAGAGTCACCCCAGTGGCATAGTGGTTAAGTTCGTGCATCTCACTTCAGCATCCCAGGGTTCATGGGTTCGGATCCCGGGTGCAGACCTGCACACAGTCCATCAGGCCAAGCCATGGAAGTTTCTCACATACAAATACAGGAAGACACGCAGAGATGTTATCTCAGGGCCAGTCTTCCAAAAAAGAAAGAAAGAAAGAAGGAAAGAAAGGGAGGAAGGAAGAAAGGAAGGAAGGAAGAGGTGTAAGAGAGTAAATTAGCAATATATGAGATCATATTGATATAAATGTACAAACAAATGTAAAGGAGAGAATGAAAATCTCCCCTTACAAGGGAACATCAACTCATAAATGTAGAAAAAAGGATGGAATTAGAAAGGCATCATTTAACAACCATTGCAGTAATAATGGTTTCAGTCAAAAAACATCTACACTGATAAAAGTCCTAAGTGAAATTTGAAGAGGAACAGAATGGTAACATGTTCTCAAAGGCTTCCTCCAAAAGATACTTATTAATTAAAAAGGGAAAAATAAAATTTAACAATAGGTTAAGTTAGTGAACACAACTTCAACCAAGAGTCCAAGTTAAGGTCACCAACACCAGGGCAAAGGGCATCAGCTGTGCTGAAGCCTTGATGCAAATTCCAGGCAAAGGTTATGATTCAGTGAGTCTGCACGAGTCCTGATAATTGACAAGGAAACAAACTCCCCAGAGGTTCTGATGTAGGTGATCCACAGACCACTGATTGACTTTGGGGCATGAAATACTTGTATAAGGTCGCCCTCCAAGCGTTGAAGAAAATTCTGCCTACATGCTTCTAGAAAGTGTCTCTGGCTACTATTAATGTCTGAACATGTGTCTTTCTTCAGTTTGGTTTAAAAAGTCATTTGTCTGGAAAACTCCCTTCATGTTTTCAGAACCACTCCCTCCCCCTGCACTTCCCCGTCAGTGGTCCTCTGAAGCCTTCTTTGGTTACCTTTATGGGTGTCCATTTCTTTGGAATTCTGGGAGTTAATCATCAACTGAAGAAAATCCACTCGGTTCTGGAAGCAGAAAGAGACATTTCAATGACAGAAAGACACTTGTGAAGTCAGAAATATATCAGGAATGTAGTGCTTAACCTGTTTCCTGAAAATATGGCCCTTTAAGTCCAGGAGTCTGATTAGTGTTGCCTGAGTCACCAGTAAACAAAAACATCCAGCTAAAAATCTGGAACAGGATGTTGCTTCAGCATTTCTGGCTTTTGAAAACAGCTTCTTGGCCAAAGAGTTGCCTGCTCCTGTCATGCCTGCTTGCTCAAGAAAAAGGCCCTGACTTCAATCCTGTTTTTCTTCAGCATTAATTTTTAATGAATGCCCACATAGATAAATTCTCTGATATTTGCAGAGTTTATTGAAAGCTTTTATGCCAGCATCTTCAAATGCTTCACCCTCTCAGAACACTACATGGTCTTCAGTAACATCCTGGGGGTACCCAGCCCTTTCTCCTTGACCTGTAGACATCCTTGTGTTGAACTCCAGGCCTTATGAAGGCAAAGCTGGATTAGCCATCTTGCAGCCTCAATGCCCAGAGAAGACTTCTGTCCACTATGAGGGGGCTCAAATATAACATAGACTATACTCCACCAGGTAGCCTGATGGGGGCTTCCATTAAAGAATGTGTAAAATAAGAGGCCTGCAATGAAAGTGATTTTTTTTCCCAGTATAAGATCTGGGAAAATTGTAATGTAATTTAAGTATAAATAATTTTAAACAGAAATTTTTAGCCTTTGATAATTTATTGAAAGGAAGTGATAAATTTTTTACCTCATCAATATTCATGCAGTGACATACTAATTGTCATGCATATTATTAAATTTTAAACATTGCCCTCTGATTCATTTTTTTATCTCCCTCCCCATCCTCCACCTTATTCATTTTCCTGAAAATATTAGAACTCTCCTGTCCTAAAACCTAGAAATCTCCCCACCAGAAAAAAAATACACCGAAGTGCACAAATCCTGAGTACAGCTCAATACATTATGAAAAGTGAATAGCTTCGTGTAACTACCACCATATTTTACCGTTTCCTTATTTTTGAGGCGACTTTCTTTCATCCTTTTTACAGATTTTATGAAAAAATCAGTTACACTTTTTGGAAACACACTGATATTTAATGCTTCATAAACTGGGCGAAGAAATGGAAAGAGAGCTGTAGGGAAAAAGAGAAAAGAAAGCATGATGAAAATGAAAATTTCACCTTGAGCAATTGTAATTTGCTTTACCAATCAAAAGAGTAAAAGACACCAAGCTTCTCAACCATAAGCCAATTCCTCCATCATCTTTGCTCAGACTTCCTAGCTAATGGCTAAGCAAGGGAAAGTCCACACATAGGGGCCATCACTATAGCAGTGAGATCAATGACCCCTTTTGCATCTTTGAAGTGACAAAAAGAACAAGATTAAATTCCTTGACCACTTAACCTTTTATCTATCGGACTAGAGTTTCTTTGGATAAACCAGACCATAGTCTGCTACCTTAATTAATTGTGCTGTTCAATAAAAGGAGTCAGGAGAGGAATAAAACATGATGGTTTTCTAACCACAATGGAACGAAATGAGAAATAAATAACAGAAAGAAAATTGGGAAACTCACAAATACATGGAAATAAAACAATACACTCCTAAATAACCAACGGGTCAAAGAAGAAGTCAAAGGGCAATTAGAAATTGCTTTGGGAAAAATAAAAGTGAAGACATGTTATACCAAAACTTAAAAAAGTTTTAAGTTTTTAAAGTTTTAAGTTTAAAAAAAAAACTTACTGGATGTAGCAAATGCAGTGCTCAGAGAAAATTAATGAACACAAATTTCTACATTTAAAAAGAACTAAGATCTCAAGTCAATAACCTAAATTTCTACCTTACAGCAGTGAAAAAGGAAGAAAGAATGAAAACTAAAGCATGCAGAATGAAGACTATAATAAAGACAAGAGGAGGAACTAATGAAATAGAGAATAAAAACCAATAGAGAAAATCAATGAAACCAAAAGCTGATGCTTCAAAGAGACCTTTAGGTAGATTGACCAAGGAAAACAGAGAGAAGAATCAACTTAAGAGCATCAGAAAAGAAAAAGGGGACACTACTACTGACATTAAAAAACAAAAAGCACTATGAAGAAATTCTATGAACAATTGAATGCCCAGAAAACTTAGATGAAATGGAAAATTTCCTAGAAAAACACAAACTACACGATCTGACTGAAAAAGAAATAGACAATATGTGGTAGTCGCCAGAGGGGAGTGGGGAAGGGGGAGGGCAAAAGGGGTAAAGGGGCACATGTGTATGGTAACAGATGGCAGCCAAACTTTTGGTGGTGAACATGATGCTGTTTATAAACAAGTTGAAACATAATGATGTACTTTTGAAATTTGCATAATGCTATAAACCATTGAGACTCCAATAAAAACAATAGACAATCTGAATAGACCTGTAATGAGTAAAAGAAAATTGAGTGAGTTATGTCTGGACGGTTTAAATGAGGAGTTCTATCAAATATTTTTAAAAGAAGTAAGAAAAATTTTTCACAAACTCTTCCCAAAAATAGAAGAGGGAGGAATACTTCCAAACTAATTCTATAAAGCCAGTATTATCCTGATACTAAACCAGACAAAAGCACCACAGGAAAAAAAAAAAAAAAGCTGCTGACAAACATGTCTTATGAACATGTTTGCACAAATCCTCAACAAAATAATAACAAACTCAATCCAGCGACATAAAAAGAAGCACACAGGGTAACCAATGGGGTTTATTCCAGGAATGCAAGGCTGTATAATACCGCACATTAACAGAACAAAAGACAAAAAAACACATGATCATCTCAATAGATGCACAAAAAGAACTTCAGAAAATCCAAAACTCTTTTGTGTTAAAGAAAAAACTTCAACCAACTAAGAGTACAAGGGAATTTCCTCAACCTGATAAAGGGAATCCACCAAAAAAACAGCTAACACTGTACTTAATAGCGAAAGGCTGGATGTTCTCCCCTGAGATATGAGCAAGACAGGGATGCCTCTTTCACCACTTCTATTCAGCATTGTACTAGAATTTATAGCCAAGGCAATTAGGAAGAAAAAGAAATAAAAGGTATCTATATAGGAAATGAAGAATTAAAACTATTTCTATTACCAGATAACATGATCTTGTATACAGAAAATCCTAGGGAATCCACTAAAAACCTATTAGAAGTAATAAACAAGTTTGGCAGCATTCAAGGATACAAGGTCAATATACAAAATCAATTGTATTTCTATACATTGCAAAAAAAAAAAGATTGAAAAGTGAAATGAAGAACTTCATTTATATTAACAACAAAAAGAACAGAATAGTTAGAAAGAGACTTTTTAAAAAGCAGTGCAAAATTTATGCTCTGAAAATTGCAAATATTGTTGAAATAAATAAAAGGATACCTAAGCAAATAGAAAAGCATCCCATGTTCATGGATCAGAAAACTTAATATTGTCAAGATGGCAATAATTCCCCAAATCGATTGACAGCTTTATCACATACTCTATGAGCATCCTACCTGGCTTCTTTATGGAAATTGACAAGATGAACTTAAAATTTGTATGGAATTGCAAGGGCCCAAGAATAGTGAAAACAATCTTGAAAAAATAAGAAAGGTGTAGGACTCACACTCCCAATTTCAAAACTTACCACAAGGATATAATAATCAAGGCATTGAGATACTGACACAAGATTAAACATATAGATCAATGAAATAGAATTTAGAGTCCAGAAATCAACCTACATGTCCATTATCAACAAAATTTTGAGACGGATTCCAAGACCATTCTGTGGGAAAATTACTCTTTTCAATAAATCATGCTGGGACAACTGGATAGTCACATGCAAAAGAATGAATTTGGTCTGTTACCTCACTTCATATACAAAAATAAACTCAAAATGGATCAAAGACCTAAGCAAAGAAAACTATAGAACTCTTAGAAGAAAACCAAGGATAAATCTTCATGATCTCATATTTGGCAATGGATTCTTAGATATAACACCATAGGCTCAGGCAATAGAATAAAAATTCACAAATTGTATATCATCAAAATTTAAAATTTTCTGCTTTGAAAAGCATTACCAAGAAAGTGAAAAGACCCCTACAAAACTGAAAAAAATTCAAAACCTATATCTGAAAAGGAACTTTTATCTAGAATATATACAGACCTCTTACAACTTGAGAATGAAAAGACAAACAACCCAACTGTAGAAGGGCAAACACTTTGAATAGACATTTATCTAAAGAAGTTATAGAACTAGCCAACAAACATGTAAAAAGTTGCTCAACAGCACTAGGCATTAGGGAAATGCAAATCAAAACTGCAGTGAGATATCACTTCACACAGACTAGGATGACCATAATCAAAAAGATAGAGAAGTGTTGCCCAAGTGTTGGTGAACGTGTGGAGAAATTACAACATTCACACATTGCTGGTGGGAATATAAAATGGTATAGCTATTGTGGAAAACAGTTGGGCAGTTTCTTAAGTGGTTCAACAAAGAGTAATTATATAATCAGCAATTCTACCCCTGAGTACATACCCAAAAGTACCGAAGGCAGGTATCAAAAAAAACCCAAAAAACTTGTACATGAATGTTCATGGGAGCACTATTCACAATAGCCAATAAGTGGAAACAACTCAAATGTCCATCAACTGATGAATGGATAAACAATACGTAATATGCCCATACAATGGAATATCATTCAACCATGAAAATAATGAAGTACTGATATATGCTACAACATGGATGAACCTTGGAAACATTATACTAAATGAAGAAAGGCAGTCACAAGAGACCACATATTCTATGATTCCATCTATATAAAGTGTCCAAGCTAGGTAAATCTATAGAGACAGAAAGTAAATTAGTGATTGCTTAGGACTAAGAGTGGGAGGGGTGGTATTTAAAACATACAGGGTTCCTGAGATGGCAAAAATATTCTAACAGTTCACTCTAGTAATTGTTGCACGTATTTTAGAATATAATAAAAATCATTTTTAGTTGTATTGAACTATAATTCATATGTATAATGACATACAGTACTGAATAAGTTTAAGGTGTACAGCATAATGACTTGACATATATATACTGTGAAAAGATTACCACAATTAATTTTGCTAACATTCATCATTGTATGTATTCCAAAACATTTTTTCCCTGTGAACTCTTAGGATGTGGTAAGTACAGCATCAGCTATTCCAACACAGAATTGAGGACAAGGGCCGTGTTCTATGCCTACCGTGAGAACACAGCCTGCAGAGGGCATCCTTTCAGGATTGACTCTCTTAGCAACTTACAAATATAGCACACAGCAGTGTTAGCTATAGACATTGTGTTGTACTTTACATCCCCAAGTACGTATTTATCTTATAACCAAAAGTTTGCATCTTCTCACAACCTTCATCCAACCCCAACTCTACCTCCAGCAGCTGGTAACCACAAATCTGACTTCTTTTCTCTATGAATTTAGTTGCTATTTTCTTTTAAGATCCCACATGTAAGGGAGATCACACAGTATTTGTCTTCCTTTGCCTGACATTGCACGTAGCATAATGCCCTCAGGGTCTATCCATTTTGTCACAAGTGGCAGGATTTCCATCCTATTTACACAACATTTTCTTTGGTCATTCACCTGTGGATGAATACTCAGGTTGTAAAAAGAATTGAATTGTATGTGTTAAATGGGTGAATTCTATGGTATTTGATGATATCTCAATAAAGCCATTATAGAAAGAAAGAAAGAAAGAAAGAAAGAAGGAATGAAGTCAAGAAGGAAGGAAGGAAAGTAAAGAAAAATAGTAGTCCACATACTTATTGAGAGAATGAGTGGATCAAGAAAATCAAGTCTTAAGAGCCTCTTAGCATTGTCCACAAAGGGATCTTGTGGGTTGTTGAGGGAATCTATGTTCACTCCAAATGATGTGCTAGTAATCACATCCATGCTGTAGGCCCCAAAGATGCTGAGGAGAGAAAGAAAGACATGGAAAATTAAAATCATCACCTCTTTACTGTCCTTATACAAAATATGCAGCAAGAAGAACATGTAAATTCATAAACACAGGCAAGACAGGTAAAGAGCCACACACCATCAGAAGTTTCTGTTGGATCATCTAAAGAGTCTATACTACCATTACACTCATTCATAAGGTGTTTATCAGGTGCCGTTGATGCAGCTGTCCCTGTGCTAATGGTGATAGGGACACTAAGGGTAGTTAGACCCAGCTCTGAGTTCAAGGAACTGAGTCACAGAGGGATAGACACCCATAATAAGACAAATTACTGTACTGTGTTATGAGTATGGGCAACAGTATGTATATAAGCACTGTGTCTAAGCAGAACAAAGGGTAGAATAAGTGACTCTTCCTAGAGGACTCAAGAAAGCTGAAATTGATCTGGTATTGCCTCACCACAGTATCCACACTCAGAGTTGATTCCTTTTTTGTATATTACAGAATAGCAGCAGCCTGTTCTGACTTGCCAGGAATGTCATCTCTCCTTCTCTATACCCCTGTTAAGGCTCCTGAAAGACAGTCTTCCTCAACTCTAGTAATCTCAGGTTGCCCTGAGGGTAGACTCATTTCCACAAATATAAAAACTGTGGATGTTCCTAGTTAAAAAATAGTAATAACAAATCACTCTAAAATTGAATTGGGGATACTATAGCTAAGAGATCACGTATCCCTAGTTTTCCAAGGACAGTCCCAGTTTACACCAGTTGCTCCTGAAAAAATTTTAAAAATCCCATTTTAGAGAATATGTGACATGGTCACCCTACCTGTAGCCTATATAGGGACTTCTCTCTTTTGAAACTGAAGGAAGGAGAATTGGTGGTAAGATTTATTATCTAGTATTTGCTGGTATATTCAGCAGAGGATGAAGGTGTATAAGTTGTTCCAGGTTCCACATTGTAACTTTCCTGCCCCACCCACTGCGCATCAATAGGTACCAAGTACCTCCCCTTCTTTTCATTCCATATCATCTACACTCAAATCCTTGGTATGATCATGTTTCTTCTTTATAAACTATGTAATTTTTTCTTCCAGAATATCCAAGGTGGCAATTAACCAGATAAATTAATCCTGGCTCATGTACACAGATGAGAAGACCCTTCATCTCTTGGCGCCCTTCTTCTTGGGTGAACATCTCCTTCTTGGGTAGCCCACTGAGGGGTAACACCACATACCTATTTTTGTTTAGTCACTAGAGGAACTGAAAAGTGGGTATTTTGGTTCCATGGCAGGCAGTTGGAGGGTCTCGTGACAGAACTCAGAATCCCAGCAGGTGCACTCCTACTTACTTTTTCAAGGTGACGGGTTTGCCTTTCTCTGCTTCATTCCTTAGGTTCCTCACCAACACATCTCCATAATGGCCAATGATGGGGAACATCTAGACAATATACAACACCAACTAAAGTTAAATGGGGGAGACTTGCGTTCCAGAAAGACCTGGCTTTCACAAGCATGGGGCAGTAAGAGATATCTTATAATGAATCTTATAATATCTCTTCTAGGGCACAAAAACAAAAGACTACTTCTAGGGAGTTCAAATTCAGCAAAATACCCCTTGGAAAGGAACTACAATCTTATTTTCTACCTGACACCAGATGCATTCTTTAAGTTTCTAATTAAAAGCCCTCTTAATTTCTTACCTCCTTGAGCTTTCCACTGGTGAAGGTTGGCGTCAGCAAAGTTCGTATTCTCTTCCATTGTTCATCCTCAGACCGAGTGATGGCATTTTTCATAAATCCCTCTGGACCAAAAGTCTAGACTCAAAAGCAAAAGACATTTTGCCCTACATAAGTTTTGGAGGTCTCAATAGTTACATAGCATTTCTTAAATGGGCAGCAATTATTTATCAAATATTTAGTGACTGTCATCTTAGGAGCAGATCCTATGATAAATGCTCAATAAATATTTACCACAAATGCCTAGCTTCCTGTGAGGGTGAAGGAGACACCCAGTCAACTGATGTGATGTCCAGCCTTTGTTTTCCAATCTCCTTTTAAATGCAAATGACTCATGTGGTAGGGAAACTGTTGTTCCAGAGGAAGAGATAGGAATAACACTTACTACGTCCTCCAGGGCTGCACAGAATAGAAAGGGATTGGTAAAAGATAGACTTGGTAAAATGTATGTTGCCTCAGACCAGTTTCATCTTTACAAATCTCTACAGCAAAAGCAACTCAACAAGAGACATGTCTTGATATGGTGATTTTCTTTAAAAAAAATAGTAGTTATTACTTAAAAGATTTGTAAGCTATTTACTATTCTGAAGAAATCGTACAATCATATGGAAATCCATTGCCATTACATTTTTTCTCCACAGACAGAAAAGAAAAGAAAGTGATAATTCTATTTCTCAGCTTGGGACTGGCCTACCAAGCCAAACTGCTTGAGAATTTCTTTCATCTTCCAAACTATTTTGTCTTAAAATGCATATCTCCAACAGCCATTCACTATAAAAACTCAAAAACTAGGAAGAGAGGGAAACTTCCTTAACTTCGTAAACAGCATCTACAAAAAAAACCCTACAGCTAACATGATGCTTAATGATGAAAGACTGGACTGACTTCACTAAGATGGCCAAGTAGAAAACTCCAGCCTCCGACACCCCCCCGCCCCGGCAAAGAACATCAGTGAGACAGCCATCCATGAATGAAAATAGATCCAGGAGGGCTCAAGGTTCTACTTAAGAAGCTTCAGGAACACAGTGGAGCAAAACACTGAGTGTAACTGCACATAATGAGTAGGGAGAGTATTTTCACTTGCCTGCATCATCCCATGCCCCAGACCAGCACTGATCAGGGCCAAGAGAATTCCTTTGGTAGGAATAGGACAGTGGGACAAGTGAATAGTTTCTCCAGTCTTTCAGGGCACTGCACAAATGGCCTGCTTTGGTTTCAACCCACCCAGAGAGTGGCATAGCTGACATGTCTTGAGACACCTAGGAACGATAAAGAAGAGCAGAGAGTGCCAATATCAGCCATGTGGCAGGAATGACGTAGTTCTCTGTGGCCTGCTTTGCAGAAGACTCCAGAGCCTTTGCTGCTGAGGAAACCAATAACCAGCTTCAATTCTGAGGACACCCTATAGATTTTGCTGCTGATAATCCCACAGATTTTCATCTCCTCAGACTCCAACTGCCTGAGTTTTGCCCTGTGCCACTACTCCCCAGTCAGAGCTGCCCTAGCCAGTGCCACCAATGACTCCCTGAGCGCTGTGATCTGTGACAAAAGACAGCCCCAGTCTCTGTGGCTGGGTGTGTGCATGACAACAGACCAGGCCCCTGCAGCTGCTCAGGTTCCTAGAGCCAGCCTTGACTCCTGTCAGTGGACTGAACTGCTGCTGTGCCCACAGCTAACTCCTGCAGCCATACACCTGCACTCTGCCACCCTCAACTCTAGTCATCAGCTCCCACTGCAGTGCACGTGCCTGCAGTCAGCGCCCACAGATGAGCATGTGCACACCACCAACTATGGCCACTGGTGCCTGCCTTGGTCCCTCAATTCTGGACCTGGAGGTGTTGCTGAAGACCCCAATAGCCCTCACAGCCACTGTGGACCCTCCACAACTCTTGCTGCTGAGAATCCTGCAGTTTGTGATGGTGTGGACTCCAGCTACCCAAGCCAACCATGCCTCCCTGGACCTGGAGCTGCCACATCCCCACGCTTCACACCCCAAAACACTAGACTGAGGGCCACAGCACACTCTGGTGTGCCTCAACCCACAACAAAGGTCTTTCCTTACCCAAGTTAGTTTGTAAAGTCGGGAAGAGGTGACTGCTTCTCCAAATGCACAAACACCATTGGAAGACAACTAGGATCACAGAGAATTAGACAAACATCACACTATCAAATGAATGCTATAAACTTCCAGTAACTGACCCCAAAGAAATGAAGATCCACAAATTTCCTGAAAAGAATTTGAAGTAAATGTTCTAAAGAAGCTCGGAGAGATACAAGAGAACACAGATAAACAATTTAACCAAAACGGAAAAAAATATGAAAAGAAAATGAAATTCAACAAGAGATATAAAATGTAAAAAAGAACCAAAAAGAAATTTTAAAGCTAGATTACAGAGATTGAACTAAAAAATGCAACAGAGAGCTATAAAGGAATCCCCATAAGGATATGAGTGGATTTCTCAGAAGAAACCTAGAAGGCCAGGAGAAGGTGGAATGATATATTCAGAGTGCTGAAAGAAAAAACTACCAGCCAAGAATGCTTTACCTGGAAATGCAATCCTTCAGAAATGAGGGAGAGAGACTGACATTTTCAGAAAAACAAAATCAGAAAGAGTTCATCACCGCTAGACATGCCTCAAAAGAAATGTTAAAAGGAGTTCTTCACGCTAAAAAGAAAAGACATTAGGTAGTAACATGAAATCATATGAAAGTATAAAACTCACTGGTAAATGTAAATATATAATCAAATTCAGAACTCAGTAATATTGTAGTGGTGGTGTGCAAATCACTTACAGCTCTAGTGTAAAGGATAAAAGGCAGAAGAATTAAAGATAACTATAGCTAATTTGTTAACGGATACACAATATGAAAAGATGTAAATTGTGACATCAAAAATAAAAAAGGTGGGGGAGGCTGGCCTCATGGTGCAGTGGTTAAGTTTGGTGCACTCTGCTGCAGCAACCTGGGGCTTACAAGTTCGGATCCCTGGTGTGGACATACTCCAGTTATCAGCCATGCTGTGCAGGGACCCACAAACAAAATAGGGGAAGATTGGCACAGGTTTTAGCTCAGGGCAAATCTTCCTCAAAATAAATAAATAAATAAATAAAAAACAAAAAAAGGGGTGCAGGGGAGTAAAAGCATTGAACATTTGAATGAGAACAAAGTTAAGCTGTTTGCAGCTTAAAATAGACTGCTATAGCTGTAAAATGTTTTAGAAGCCTCATGGCAACAACAACGCAAATACATGTGATAGATACAGAAAAGATTAAGATAAATGAAATAAAGCATGTCGCTATAGAAATTGTCAAATCACAAAGGAAAACAGGAAGAAGAGAGAAAATAGGAAAAAAGGATATTAAACACCCAGATGAACAAAATGGCCATAATAAGTCCTGACCTACCCAAAATTACTTTAAATGTAAGTGGATTGATGAATGGATAAGGAAAATGCAGTGTGTGTGTGTGTGTATATATATGTATACATTCATATATTCATATATATATATATATATATATATATATTCAGCCTTTAAAAAGAAGGGAAGCCTGCCATTTACAACAACATGGATGAACCTGGAGGACAACATGATAAGTGAATTAAGACAGGCACAGAAGGACGCATATTGCATGCTGTCACGAATCTGTGGAATCTAAAAGAAAAAGTCAAACTCATAGTAGCAGAGAGTAGAAGGCTGGTTATCAGAGGCTAGGGAGGGGGAAAGAGAGACATTGATCAAAGAGTAAAAACTTTTGGTTACAGCAATGGAACAGTTCTGTATTTTGATTGTGGTAGTTGTCACACAAATCTACACAAATGATAAATTTTCATATAGCAACACATGCACGGACACACAAATGAGTGCACATAAAATTGATGAAATCTGAATAAACTCTGTGGATAGTACCAATGTCAATTTCCTGCTTTGATATTGTACTATAGTTATGCAAATTATTATCATTGGGAGAATCAGGATGAAGGCCACGTGACATGGCACCTCCCCGTACCATTTTTTTTTGGCAACTTCTGTGAATCTATAATTATTTCTAAATAAGAATTTAATAAATAAATGCAATTTTAAATTAAAAGAAAATGGATGCGTACTCGCCGGTTTGTGAAGACAGAATAACATTCTTTCACTAGTACGGTTTTGATCATGTCTGGATCTGTGATAGCCAATACAGGAAGCCGGCCTTCATAAAACCTGTTGAGGAAACAAAGCTGAATAAATTTAACAAACTGGCTTCTGCTGCTGTTACCATACCTGGAAGTCCAGATTTTCATCCTGACATTACAGAATTCATACGCCCGGAGATCATGGTTAGAAATAACATTGGAACACTTGTTAAGTCTGGGTGGTACGTATATGGGTATTTCCTATACCATTCTCCATAATTTTTCTAGGTGTAAAATATTTCATTATAAAAAGGAAGTAAGTTTAGTAAATAAGTAAAGGAAATGAAACTACATAAGGACGAAATAATAATTAAGGAAAGTCTACCCCCTCAGTCATGAAAAAATATAATTTTGAAGATGCATCAACACATGACAAATGCATGACATAACAATAGATGAAAATTGTAGACACACTGATCATAAATATGTAAAAATGGTCTACAAATGGAAAAAGATTTGGAATGCTCAAAAGGCTATAGTAGGATAACGTATGATTTAATTCCCCTGTTTCTAAAATTTCTAAAAGAGTCTCTGGACTGAGATTGTCTTACATACAGTGAGGACATAATTATAACCACAAGTCTATCCAATTAAAGTTTCCAGAATACTTACCCCCACGTTTTTCCATACTTTTTAAAACATTTCTTGTCAAAATCCCAAATACCCTGCAGGGAGAAAAAAAATTAGATTAATCTAAATATATTGAACCCAACCTGTCTCTTGGAAGAAAATGACTCAAATTCCATGCAATTGGGCTTACTATCTTTCATTGATAGTGAGAGGGACCTCTTATGCAAAAACATCTCAGGGGAAAGGAGAGAAAATAGAGGAGCTATTTGAATTGGAGAATTTAAAGTCACTCTAGAAATTTCTCTGAGTATCATAGATACTAAGTGATTACCCATGTCTATGAATACTAAGTAACTCCTCCTCTTTATAAAGTGTTTTCACTTGTGCATCTGTTGTCTCTGAAATCAAATAACTCTCTGAATTATTACCTCCATGGACATGTTAGAAATCTGAAGCTGAGGGAAACTGAGAGTGGCCTGTACCCTCTTTGATCTCCTATTAAGGATCCTTTTCATTTATCTCATGAGCTCTCCCTAGAATTCTAACAGAATTAGGAAGTTTAACACTACAGTGACCTCTTTTAGTCCAGCAGATTTAAATAAATCTAAGTCATCTTTGTTGAGTAAGAAAGTGAGTAAGTGAATGAATGAATGACAATGTGGATTCGCCTTCCACTTTTCCAGGTTAATATGGAAAGGATGGGGAGATGCTACCAGTCCATGTAGGACAGTACAAATTAAAACACTTCTTCTGAGCTGCCACATCTGTAAATTAAGGAAAAAGAATCTTCTTATCATTAAATTTAGTTGTGGTGTTTTAACTCTGGAAAAGAAGGTCCCAGAAATGTGGGTGTTGGGGTGCATCTACTAAGGAGCTGATCTGGGAAAGGTGGAAATGAAGTTATTGCTCTTTCAGAGGGAAAAACGTATGAAAGTTCTTAGCCAGTAATAAAGCACTGAAAGACTCAATAAGGAAAATTGGGATCTGAGAAACAAGCCTCAAGGCTGTGGGAAAGGAAATCTGAGGCAGAGAGGAGCCTCCACGCAAGGCTGTGCCTGCTTGCTGTCTGTATGTGAACTTGAAACCTCCCATCCAGTGGCCAGGCCCTGGGAGAGGCATCAGAGCTGGATTAACCACAAAGGTGCCACCAAAACTCACAGTCCATGTGTCACCAATACTCCGTTCTGTTAAATTAGATTTTTAATAATGTTGTCAAATCATCTCCATTTTAGTGGTTTTGTATAAGTGATTCTGCCTTTGTTTAAAAAAAAACACAACTCAATTAGTCGATAAATATCTAAAGTCGATAGACAACCACTATCTTGTCTTATATCCATTCCCTGATCAGACTCACCCATAGGGTCCCTCTTCTGAAGACAGAGAAGTAAAGCAGAAAGTTCTTGTTCCATCTCTCAAATCCCAAAAGGTCTCATGGGTAGCAAAGTATGAGTTAGATCCATGAATATAACTGCCAGGGTTTAGCAGATCTTAAGAGAATTTCAGTATATGCAAATTACCCAATGGTGAATTCTGGGGCTGCCTAATTGAAGTTTCAAAGTCTTCCAGGAGGATGGGGAAAAAAATGACTACCCAGAGCTTACGTTACAAACAGGAAAGTTTGACTCTAGAGTACAGAGCTTAATGAGCCACTACCGGGGACTCCCTTCATTCTCTTCTCCCAATACTAAGTACCCATTTTGCCTTTCTGGGAATCTGCATCTGGCAGGAAGATAATATTCTTCACAATACTCACAAGTTGGAACATCACATACTGTGCTGAATCGGCCAGAGAGCTGGGCTGTCCAACTGAGGCAAACCTGAGACTCATAACAGATGAAAGCAGAGTCCTGGAGTAAACCTGGCCACGTGCTGGGTGGGGCATATGACATCATTTCTAGAAAGTGTGGAACCTCAGAACTTCCTCCAGAGCAGGGACATTTTCACTATAGAACTAAACTGGGATTTGCAAATATGAGCAGCAAGAGAGGGAGCTCAAAAAATACCTTACGGTAGCTCAGAATATTTCCAAAGAAAGGCAGAGGAGTCGGCCCAGGAATTCCGAGCTTCTTAAAAAGTCCATGTGTATAGGTGCCAAATCTATAAAGTGAAAGAGAAAGCCAGGTCACAGGGATTGTGGAATAGATGCTGAGGCTGGCCAGTCCCTGACTCAGACCTGGAACAGTCAAGGAAGGAAGGTAACATGTAGGAGATAAATAACAACAACAACTCCGATAGCAAAGATTACATTGAATCATCATCTTCTTTCCTACCTCCACTGAGACTTGCAAAAAGTAATGATGAGCAGCTGAAAGCAGCTGAAGCATTCATGGTGTCAATCCTAGAGTGAATGCTGATAAATGTTTTTAAACTTGAGTGCTCCTGAGAGGTTCAGGCTAGAATTCTTCCAGGAAATTCACTTAGGTCGATTTAATAAGTTGACTCTCCCATAATTTGGAGATTCTCATTCTAGATAGAAAGCGAAAAAAAATTTTCTACTCTGATGATATTTAACCTAATTGCCTCCACTCAATGAAAGAGTGTTACTGGGAGCCATGTTGCTGTTGCTGTTCTTACATTATGTTCTCACATGAACATGATGTTGTTCTTACGGTTTGTTCAGAGCTGTTTATGCTTTTCCTTCCCTCTACGCCCTGACCTCACTTTAGGATGTGATCCTTCTTAAATCTATCTTCATGCAGGCATTGAAGCAGCCAGTTTTCTCTTTCTACAGAATGAAAACCATGTTCAAGCTGCCATTGGCCTCGTAGAAATGCGAGTGACTCTCTGCTACCCCCAAGTCTCTGTTGTCAGGGAATTTGGTTTACTTGAGCTAGATAGAAGGGTGAGTGGCCCATATGCTTCCTGAATAATACTATATAAAGGAACCAATGACTAGATAATCCATTTCCAGACTATTCTTCCCTCGTGGTCTCTGATCCTCCACCTGTGATACTCATCTGCTAAGCACAGTTCCAGGGACATTCTGTTTTCTCAAGAAGGTCAGTCACATAGTGGTTAGTTTACTGCTTCTGTGAATCAGCTATCTCAAAAAAACCATTAAGGCTTGAGCTCCCTACGTCAGGACTGTCTACATCTCATCTTTCATGTGTCATGTGTGGAATCTCACAACTAGGGGCTCTGGATCTTGCAAGTCTCGCCATTCTGTTGTTACTGAGAGGTGGCAGAGAGTGGGAAGAAGAGACACTGGAAGAACAGGCTGCTGAAAACCATTTTAACCATGAAGCTGCTGGGCCTACAAGGCTAACTCCCTAGAGGCAAATTAGGAAAGTATGGTTGAAAAGCATGTTATCTATAAATGGTTCAATATGCTCTACAAATCTTTTCAGCTAAAAGATAAGGGACCATCCAAATTTCAGGGCTCTTCCAGTTGATAGTATAGGATGCATAACGCAATACAAAATGAGTAACTATAAAATGTTCCTGAGAGTTGAATTAAGACTTTTTCTTCACTTCTTTGAAGGTTAGCCTTTAAGGTAGTACAGTTTCAAATCATTTAGTACAAATCCAACAAATATTTTAATATGTAATCAAATAAACCGAAAAAATTGCATGAAATGATGTGTGTTTTAAGGACCCAGCAGAGGCATCTCATCCTGGGCCTAGCTGGGCCTTTGGATCCTTCCTCCAGAAGAGCTGATGGAAGCACGTGAACTGACTGCCAAAAATGTGTATGACTCAGTTAGTCCTACCCCAGTTCCTTCCTTTGCCATCACAACTATGGCAAATCAATTGAATCAATTTCTGCTTCTACACTTTCTATGTCTTACATGAACACTCAAGTGAGGCCAAGCAATTGAGTGAATGTGTCCGTAACATTGATCCCCAAGGGAAGAACTGGTCTAGTGTCTAAACTCATATGGTTCCATATCAAGGCAGAGGGTGGGCTGGGTGAATTCTTCAGTTTCTTTACAACTTCCCTCTTTTGAATAGAGTAATGCTGCCTTTGGTATAAATGAAGAGGCTAACATCAATGCCACTCATTATTTATTACACTTATATTATGTTGGCTTAAGGAGGGCATTGTCCACTCTGCAGCAACTGACTCTTGGCTGCACCAGTGTCTCTGAGGCTACGCTGTTGTTGGTTCAGTGGCGACACTATCTAGTGACAGTCCTACTGTCAGACGGACCAGAAACAGAGTGATTTAGATGGCATCCCTGTCTCCAAGCTTCAAGTAGATGAGATGCTAACCCTGCTACCCTGTGAGGGACCACCTGTGGGACCACGACTGAGGAGTATCTCTGAGAAGTCAGCTCCAAGGGATGAGAAATATTCTTCTACTTCATCCTGACTCCTATGTGGAGGCCTCTCATATCATCACTGGCTCCGAAGTCTTCCTTACTCACCTGCACTGAGAGATTAATATACCTGCTGGACAGGTATATTTTAAAACACATATACATTCTATGTCATAGAAGTATATTTTTGTACCTAGATTCATGTTCTTGACTTTATCCCAGAAGGGTAAGGTTATTTATGCACTTTTCTAGTCACAAATACTGAAACAATAACCCTCTTTTATCCTGTATAAAAAGTATATGCCGCATGAAAGTATATGCTGGAAATAGTCTTATTTCCTTTAAAAAAATCTACTATTAAATAGAATGAAATTAAATCACATTAATTTTAAAATGTCATCAGTCCGAAAATATATTCCCACAATATCCGGAATTCCTAACGTTTCTTTCAAAGAATTAAAACCAGATTTATATTTCATATGTTGACATCTGTGTTCACGGTTTCCTACTCTCAGAAAGTGAAATTGACACAGAGGTCAAATGTGACATGCAGAGACCTTTCCTACTCACACATAGAAAAGAATGCTCTCCCAGCCTGCTCCATGATACAGGGAATCCCACCATTGAAAGGAATTCCTATGATGCATGGTTTTGATTCATCCTCCTGTACTGTAACTTCAAAGGAAAAAATATTTAAAATCCAAACTGGCTTTTTGGGCTTGTGCCTTTGCAGGCTGCTAGCAAATTTCATATCCGGGGGAAAATAAATCTCTATACTGATGCTAACAATCCCAGAGGCTGGAAGGAAAAGGTGAAGGAGAAGAACACAATTTTAAAATTTCTGCAGGGTCTTCTCCACCGTAAAGATTTCTCATTGAGGAGTAAATAGTTCTGTATATTACAGGATAGGGGAATTGAGTCTTAGGAGGGAATTTGAGAGGAGGGGCACAGCAAAGAAGGATGAGCTAAGTCTGAAGAGAAGGGTAAGCAATCTCCAGCCTTAGCAAAGTCAGGGAGCACCAGGTGCCTTGTGTAACTGATGCTGGGCCATGAGAGGGAGAAGAGCAGAAGCCACCTTAGTGACACAGGTGCATGCCTTTTTCAGTAGATGCAGAACCTGGAAGGTGAAGATAGTGAGACAAAAATGAAAGCCAGTCCCTCCTGCCTCCAGTACCCTCAGACCATGAGAAGGGAGGAGGACCTCATTGCACAGGACCAGGTGTTTACAAACTGCCTCTGCTGAATTCTGGTTGATTAGTTTATGTCCAAACTGGTAGTCAATCAAAAGATCACCCTTAGGAGCAAATAATGTCACTAAACCCTCCTACCTACAGCAGTTATCAGTGGTAGTTGTGCGGGTTGGGGGGGGTACTCCTTCAGCAGATATGGGTCAGATCAATAATAATACCTCATGTGTTTATAGCACCCAACAATTAAGCAGCTTCTCCTTCATTAACTCTTTTCATCTTCAAAACAGATAAGGTAAAGCAGGGCTGATTAGTTCCCCAAGCCCAAGGTTACAGAGGACAGGAGCCTTGACAGTTACTCACAGATAGAGGAACACAAGGCTGGTAGCCAGGAGAACCCAGGTTTCTGTAGAAAAGTTGGGGATCAGGTCCATGGCCACTTTCCTTCTAAGATTCTCTCTTCTGAATTTGCCTTTCAGAAGTCTGTGCTACTGTTTGCAGCCTGTGGGTAAAGAGCTTCCCTTCTCTCCCAGTGGAGATTCAGTGAGGCTGGAAGATTTATGTGCTGGGAAAGGAGGCAGGGCTGGAGCTGCAGCCAGTGGAAAGGCCACCTGCACTCGAAAGGTTGGTTCTCTCTCCAGCCTGATACTTGGCCCAGCGTCATGAACACTCTCAGTTTGACCTCCTTTGAGGTCATATTTTGTGACAAATCAATAAATAACTCAATCAGTGTTGTCAGTGAGCCTAAAGGTTACAAGTAAAGCCATTGGCTTTCAATCTCTAAGCTTCCCTTGACTCTGTGGCTGCATGCACTCCAAAGTACTTGAAATCATTCTAACAAGCTAGGTCTTCAGATTTTTACCCATGCAGATCCCGCTGCCTAGAAATGCCCCTGTGCCCCTAGAAAGCTCCTATCCTTAAAACTCGACTTAGAAAGAACCCCCTGTGTTAGAGTCTTTCCTCACCAACCTCCTTGAACAGATATAAGTACTTCCTACACTGGGCAAATTCTATCTGCCCCTAATTCTATCATTGTTCTCTCTGCCCTCCAGCGCTGTTGGTGGTTTCAACAACTAGTGTCCTTCTCAGATTGAGAGATTCTCAAGGGCTCAGTCTGGGTATTATTCACTGATATGTCCCTAGTCCGTAACAGAGTGCTTAATGAAGAGGAGGTGTCCTAAAATGTTGGTGGCATTGAGTTGGTGGAGGTGAGATTGCTGGTCCCCTGCATGTCCTTTCCCTGTGGCTCATTAGTGACCACACCATTTTCCTGGATAGTTAACATAATAAAAGGGCCTGGATACACTTTGGCAACCATCACTGCACGTTCAGGCTGATCCATCAGGATTCTAGTGACAAGAGGGCCCCTGAAGGAGAGGCAGGACAGGGACAAGATGGTGATGGCTTTACCAAGTGGTATCATTTCATATTACTTCCTGTCCTCCCCATCAGAAGGTCCTGCAGTAGTCAGACAGTTAGACAGATCCTTGACCAAAGAATGCCCTCCTCTCTCTCTGGAAAGTTTATGTCCAAGAACAATGAAGGTCAAGGGAGTGAAAAGGAGAACAGTAGCTTGAATGGTCAAGTGGACCCCAACCACTTTAGCCACCAAAGTGTCACCATAGTCAGCATACACTAGCACACAGGACCCCAAAAAGATGCTATGAGCTTTTTCTCTGGGGCAAAAGGGTCACAGTAGATGGCTTTCTGCTTTATGAATAATGGGAGACTCTCTAATAAGTGGTGAGGAGCTGGTAGGGGGAGGCCTGTAATTGCAGTCATTGTCACCTGTGAGCCCCACACCACATACTGTTAGGAAAGATCCAAAGACTGAGCATCTGGAAATTATACCAGCTCATTATTATCAATTTGACCCATGTTCTGTGTCTTCTTTGCCTGAGAAACTGTGGATCATGTGAAAAATAAAACCTGTTAAAACTCAACAGAAACAGAAGACATTTAATCTCTGTTTGTGCACTTCCTTCTCTCTTTATCTTTTCTCACTTTCAGCTCTTCTGCAGAAAGTCATACTCACCCCTCACCAACTGTTTCCAACCCACTGACCTGTAGTCCCAAGGGCTGTCGAATATTAGCCTGAGTAGGTGGGTGTCTCACTGGTAAAATGCAGTCACTCTTAACTACCTCACTCACTTGCTTTTGTTTACTTGGGAGTTTGTCATGCAGCCGGAAATTTATACCATCACGCTTTTCTGTCTTTGGGTTAAAGTTTTCTCAAGAGGCAGCCCTTAAAATCCACAGCTGCCACTGGAAAGTGTGATGCATGAATACATCTATTTGTCTTTGCATGGAGTCAAGGCCAAGTGGACGAATATTACATGTAGTTATTTTGCAGGTTGTGGACTAGAAGACATACAGTACGCTTCTTCAGGAGTAGCCTCCCAAAGGAGTGAGACACATACCAGTGATGAATTTTGCATACCTCTTGAATCACTGGGATAATGGAGCCCTACTCAGAGGGAATTAACTAAAGAGGTGACTGCAAGCTTGAACACCAACAAAGGACAGACATGGGAAGCTGGAAGATGATCCCCAGGAAAAGATGGTAGAAAATACAAGGAATTCCAATGTTTCAGCCTCCTTTGGATGCCTTCCCCAGGTAGTATTAAATAAGGTCATTCTACCATCTCCAGTTTACAGGTATAGAAACTGAGGCTCTATGACTGCAAGTGGCTTCCCAACAGCTATTGATCACAAGAACATAGTATATACAAGCTAATAGGAAGGGAGATTGAAATTTCTGGTGCTGCTCTAAAATGCTAATGTTTGCCATTTTCTGGTAAGGGCCACTACGGTGACTAATGAGAACCTAGGGTGAAAGAGCAAACTGGTTAAAATTCTGGTTCCTATCTCCATGGCGACCCCCAGAGCAGCTCCCCCATGAGTCTTCCAGAGCAAAGGACTCTACTTCATCTCAGCAGGAACAAAGACAGATGCAAGTCAGGAAGATACTATGGGTATTGTTGGGTAGGATCTCCCCTCTATGCTCCCAACCAGAGTGGTACTCAAAATACATCCAAACAAAGAAAGACTAGAGTGTCATCCGACAACTATTGAAAACTTAATTCTCTCACCTAGACACAAAGCCTTTCTTATTCTTCTTGGAAACAAAACCCCTGTGAAAACTAATGTGCTTTCATCTTTCTCCACACTAGCACACAGGACTTGGCTATGATAATTTTGTAACTAATCCTAATGTGACCATTCACCTGTCATAGTCACCTCAGGGCCTGGTCCAGCTGCTTGGGATGTATCCCAAGGGTGATAGGCTCATCATTGCTTGGGCCAAAATGTATCCAACACCACGTCATAACCAATGCAAATGACATTTTTCTGCAAGTGGAAATAATAGAAGGCATGATCTCTGTGCCTCTTCATTCCACAGAAGGGAACACTTAACATGAAGAGAATCCCATAACAATTTTGCTGAATATGTGAAGGAAGACACTGTGTGTCAGAAGAATACCCTACACACCTTGTGTCTCTCACCTCCTCATTTGTGTACTAATGGGCTCATCGTGTACTTTCAAATCTCTGTTCTAAATCTTAAGACACAAGTGCAACTAAGACCTAGACATTATTCAATTTGAAGACAGAGACAAAGTAATCGATAATTATAGTACAGCCAAGTAAAAATTATACAGGTAGGAGAAACAGTGTCCTCCTCAACAGAGAGTGGCTCATCTGTTTTATCAGTCTCCTAAACAATACAAGTTGAAGCTTAAATAACATTCAGGGAAGCAGTAGGCTCCGAAATCAGTATAGATGGACAACCTGTCATGGATCAGTGATTCAAGGACCCATCAGCCTGACATTTTCATCCTTTTGTATCGTTAGCCCAAGTGTCTCCTCTTCTAGGAAGCTTGTCCTGACTTCTACTGGCTGAGAGAAGTGCTCATGGCATGGGGAGAAAGTGTTGCTCTCAAATGATTTGTGCATTAGATTCAAATTCCACAGGTCACAATCTGGAGTGTGCAAAAAATGAAAGCAAGATTGAGTATCTGTAACTCAGCTCTGAAGCCCCCTTTCTTCTTAGTAGGGAAAACTGATCTGCCAATTCAGGGTAAGCAGGTGGTATCTAAGTTTGGGTGGCTGACCCTCACTGTTGGTGGAGGAGTGGGGAGGAAAGTGGCAGGTCCATGGACATACTCTCTTGGCATTGGAGGAGAGGGCACCACTCTCCAGTGTCATTGTATGTATGCTGGTTTGGTTCTATGTGTGCTGTGTTCAGGCCATGGGCCAAGACTGAATATAAAAGACACAGGATTCTCGACCTCAAGAAGGCAGAAGGGAGAGAGAGATCAAACAAATAACCATGAAATAAATATTGAGTTATAAATCGAGACACGTACTATGAAGCAGCACTATTGGACAGAGTTGACCCTTCTTTCCTTAAACTCTCTCCTCCTTTGAAAGATATGAACAAAACAGAATCAAGAGGACTTGCCACATTGGAAGTGTGTGACCTCGGGCATGCCTGGGCTTGTGCCCTCATCGCTCTGTGATGGAATTGACCAAAATCAACCTAAGAGGACTTTATCCCAACCACAAGACCTCTTAACTGCCTAACTCAGCCTCCATGTCCCCCTAGGATTTTCTAAATCCTCCTTCCCCCTCCTTTATTCTCCTTCCCTTATATGTCATTTAGGGCCCCCCAAATCCCCCAAACCAGTCAGGAACCAAGTATCCTGAGGGCAAGAGGGAGAGCAAAGATGAAATAGGATGGACCTGGGAGAAGACAACCATGGATATAGGCCGAGAGCTCTAAATTCTAGAGTGGTTTCTCAACTGGGACTGCTTCAGAGAAAGAGGCGCAGCACATGCCACACAAGCACACACAGAACAAGATATAACCTCTGGCAATGAGAGATAATATTTATTGTTCTGAGTCCTTGACCTTCATTAACTGATTTAATCCACCCAGGGATCTTAGGAGACTGGTATTGTTATGATCCCTACTTTACAGATGAGCAAGCTTGGGCAGAGATAAGATAAGTGACCATTCAAGGTCTCATCACTAATTCCTAGCAAAGCTGGGATTCAAATTTAGATCTTCTAGCTTTAGAGCCCAAGGTCTTATCTTTAACCAGGCTCATCATTGCCCAAGGCCACACAGACTTAGTTGGGGGACTAGCACTAGAGCCCAGGCCTTCTGAGGGGGGAGTGACCAATGCTCTGCCCCAACACATAGACAAGGAGGGGCCCCCTAACAAGCTCGTTGATGAGGGCTGGGACAACGGTGTGATAAAAGGGAATGTTCATTCTGACCCACACACATTGCACCATGCAGAAAGCCCCCTTGTCCTGAAGCAGAAACACTTCTGTAGACATCACAGCAAAAGTGAGAGGAGGAGGAAGACTTCCTTATGGCTGCTCACTTTCTCCTCCATCCCACATCTTCTCAATCTTGATAAAC